GCAGAATTTATGTATTATGTGCATGTGTGTGGGCAGTTGTGCCTTCATGTGCAAAATACAGGTTGCATAAAGACATTGCACTCTGAATTGTAAGATGGACTTGGATGCTGCTGCCTTAAACTGCCAAGGTGTATTTCACTTAAGTATTCTAAGCCTTCAAACACCAAAAGTTCTTGGAGGCTGCCATGCTAAAGGGTTTGCCAAATGAGCCTATGCAGGCTGCCAGGCTAGGGGGCTTGCCAGCAGAAAAGCCTATGCAGGCTGCCATGCTAAAGAGTTTGCAGCTGAGCCTATGCTGGCTAATGTCAGCAGGCAAGTGCTAGTGCACATACTGGACTCTTTTCAAGCTGGTTGCCATACCTCAGTTTTTTCTGCTGGCCACTTTGGGGAGTGGTATTGCTGCTGCTGCTGCTAGCACTACCTTGATTATTGCTACCACCCAGGCCATGATCTTTGTACAGCATGGCCACTTGCGCCTGCCTCTCACTTTCACTCAGGCCATGCCTCAGCCACTGCTGGGAAAACTCCTCCAAGGTTGTCCTTGGCACAGGGTGGTTGGAAATGGCCAAGAAAAAAATACAAGGCTCACAAACTGACCATCCTAGGAAAACCCCTCCAAGTTTATCCTTGGCTCAGTGTGGTTGGAGGTTGTCTATTGAACATATGGGGTAAACCATGCTACAAAAGGTCACAAGCCACATATGAGTTCATGCTGGTTCAAGATACTAATCATACAAAGGCTCCAGTTCTGCCATCCATTGTGGTAGTGGACCACATGCCACAGTTGGTTGCCCCACTTCTCCAGGCAGGAGTACTTGAAGGGGGTTGACATGGTGCTTGGGCCACTCATATAGCTGCATGACCAAATTCTTTTCTAAATGTTTGTAGCTTGTTACAAATTAGACTTCCTCAGTTTTAAGTTAAATTGAGCCTGCACAGGCTAAATTGAGCTTATACAAGCAAAAATGTGCTGAGCTTGTATAGGCTGGTCAGCATAGCATGTATTTGCTGGCACAGCTGCTGCTAGTGTTTTCCCAACATCTTTTGTCTGCTGGATGTCAATGTGCTTCCTGTCAGCTGGACACCCCACCAACTAACATATGGTACATACAGCTGCAGAAGTTTATTCACGTCAAGCCCAGCTTTGTTGAAAGTTTATTCCATTCACTCCTGCAAAGCCTTTGCCCCTGGTAGCTTGGATTCCGACATTGTTGGCATCCATTGTGGGAGCCTCTACACTTCCTGCATCCAAGCTTCATGGTCTTGCTTGTGCTGGTGCTGCTTGCTGCATTTGCCTTGGGTGCAGCATGCTTCTTTGAAGCAGCTGGCCTTTTGAAGGCCTTGCAGCCACCACTGGGTTGCTTTGTTCTCTTGCCTCCACTCAGCTTGTTGAAGGCCTCTTGCTCAAAGTCTTCCAGTGACTTTCCACCACCCTGCTGCTGACATTCTGGCTGCTCAGCTTCAGCTTCAGCCTTGGGGTCACAGTCCCTTTGTTTGTCAGCAATGGGCAAAGTTTGCCCAGGCTTCCTGCTAGCATGCAAAGCTAGGTCAGGTGCACAAGGTTGTGTGCCAGTTTGGCTGCCCTTCAAAAAGGTCACCTTTGCATCTGGCTGTCCTTGGCTCTTGTTCATCATGTTTTGATTGAAAGTTTTGCATAGCATGTTCATCATAGTAGCCATTGATGTGTCACTTGTTGGGCTCACCACCTGCTGGTCAGGTTCTTTTTTCTTGCATGCATTTGTTGCAGTCACCATCTTGTTGCTGCATCTCACAGGAGTGTTGTACCTCACCAGCTGTGCCAAACCAGGGAAATCATTCACCAATGGTTTGCCATCCCCATAGCTAGCTTGCAGGTGCTCTTTGGACAAAGCACTGGGGTGGGTTGGATACACTGCCAAAGCTGGCACACCCATAGGTGTTGGCTCAGGTGAGCTTGCCAGGGCATGCATCATTTGCTGGGAAAGCACATAAATGCTGTCACCTGTAGGCATTTGGTTGCCTCTTTTTTGCTGCTCATGGTAAAGCAACAAGGCTGTAGCAACCTTTTTTGTGCTTTCTTTCATTCCTTTGATACCCAGTTTCTTCATCCTTGCAGCTGAGGTAGCTGTCCCCTGCCACATACTGACCCTTTCCAACTCACTCACATCACAGGCTGTCAGGTACAAATGAAAAGTGTCACATTGCTGAGGCACTGTATGCACTTTGGTGTTGGTCTCATCCTGACATCCAAGGGCCAGCTGGTCCACTGTAGCAGTGAGGTCATCCTTCACATCTTGAGGCAGGTTGCACCCCTTCAGGACATCATAGAGGTCAATGAGGCTGTTGGCATCCACATGGCCCAAATTCACTAGCTTGTGCTTCACCTGGCTTTTGATGTGTTCTTTTAAGTCACTCAAGTGAGGCCTGGCCTGCAAAAGCAGCCCAGCAGACACTATCTCTTGCTTGAAGTCAGCCACAGTCCATGGGGCAGCCATTGTGCAAGCTTCACTTTGAAAAGCTGGTTTGTAGCCAAACACCCACTAGGTATCAAAAGTGCATACTATCTTTCACTAAGCTAATCAAAAGCTGGTTAGCTAATCAAAGCCTGTAGGGGCTGACGCATATACATAACATTTGAACAGCTGATTGTAGCCAGACACAAACTGAGCTTGTATAAGCTAATCAAAGCCTGCAGAGGCTGATGCATAGGTGAGCCTTTACTGGCTGGTGAGCCTTTACTGGCTAAGACTGATGCTGCTGCCACAAGCTCTTTTTCACTTCCACTTCCTGCTGTTCATAGCAGGACTGGGTTGGTAAACATGGTCAGCATGATGGGACCTTTCCAGTGGGCGCCCTTGAGCTCCAACTCTCTCTTTGTCATCCTTGGGTGGATACAGTTTCAATCATCAAGTTTCAATCATTCACTCACCCAAGTGTATATCATTCAATCAGTGCTTCCAAGTGTCCAGAACTGCCATCCTCAGTGAAGATGTTCATACACAACTACCAAGCTGTAACTAAACAATCATGAAATAAAGTCAAGCAATATATATCATGATGATTTCATTCCAAGTCACCTGAGTAGTACTGTAGTACTCTGCCACTCTGTATTTCACGCCATTGTCAAAGGTCCACCAGCTTCTCCACACATCTGGATTCATCTCATACCATCTGATCCTGAGTGAAACAAACACAAAACTTTCAACATGCAATCAATGGATTGTCTAATACATGTTGACTCTGAGTGAAACAGTCACAAATTTGAAATATACAAGCAGTAGGTTCAATGCAAATTACATTCATCTTTACTGTAGGCTGGTTCACACAACAACAAAATCTTTTTGACAATGTATAATCTAAGTGCATTAAAGACTCTTCATACACCAGTATGGATCGTTCCAAATCACATCCACTTCCTCCCATGACTTCTGCACATCAACTATTCTAGTTCTCTCCATCACTCATTCACTTGATCACACATACACTGCGATCAATATAATTATGCATTTGTACCCTGTGTATTTGATTTTAGAAAACTAAAATCAAATACAATCTTTTTGTATTTGATTTTAGAAAACTAAAATCAAATACATATACCAAAGAAGCCTGTACAGGCTGTTTTGACTGTTTTTTGAGCCTGTACAGGCTAGGTTTTGACTATTTTTGAGCCTGTACAGGCTAGGTTTTGACTGTTTTTGAGCCTGTACAGGCTAGGTCTCAGTCTGTTCAAACTAGAGTGAAAGCCTATATAGGCTACACTTGACATACAATTGCTTTTTTTCATTTCCAGTCTCAGCTGTTGTGCGCAAGTCACTGTACATCCACTGTGCAGCCAGTGCATCTCTAATGCACTCATTTCAAAGGCCAGTGTCTGTGCACATCAAATGTACTGGCCATAAATCTTCATTCCTTTCACATCATATCCTGCTTGGATTTTGTTCCAGCACTTTGTGATGCTTGGATGGCATGCTAGCTTCTCCAATGAATACTTCAGGCATTCATTCTCCTTCTTGTAGTGCATGTGGCATAGTGCAAGTGCCTTTGCCATCCATCCACCTCCAGTTGGTCCATAGTCATCATTAACATGAACCTTGAACCGATGCCAGGAGCCATTCTTCACCCACCACCATAAGTTCTCCTGATGGAGATCCTTCTCCCACCATGCCCACTCACCATTTCCATCCTGCAGGTTTTGAAACAACACTGATAACAATTATACACATCAGCAGTCAATACACTGTACTCTAAGATTTGTTTATTTGTTGATCGCACATGTTGATTTGGTCCTGTGCCCATCCAGCATCCATACCTTCCTCCCATAGCAGGTACTCATCCTTCACATTCTTGTCCTTGTTGGAGGGTTCCTGCAGGTTGTGTGAACAATTACACAAACATAAAAGGTATTGCAATAGCAAAGCCTTAGTTCACAAAAAGGTTAGCCTGTAAAGGCTGGGTTGAGCCTGTAGGGGCTGGGTTGAGCCTATAGAGGCTACACCACTAAGCCTATATCAGCTGCAGTTTAAGCCTCTGCAGGCCATCCACATACTCAGCTTCCAAAATCTCAACTGTCCTGCTTCACCTTGGCTGTTGGCATCATAATCGGTGGTGACACAGGTGGTTTCTTTGCTGGAGGGCACAGCTTCTGCTCATTCCCAATTGCACTGGGAGAAGGCTTCACCTCATCCATCTTCCCCTCAGCCTTGTTCATCTTCACCTCAGCCTTATTCTTTTGATCCACTGAGGTCTTCTTACCCCCATCAGTATTGGGAGCAGGCTTCACCTCACCCATCTTCATTTCATCCTTTTCCTCCACTGCAGGCTTCACATTCCCAGCCATACTGGTAGAAGGCTTCACCTCATCCATCTTCACCTGCTGCTTTTCCTCCACTGCAGGCTTCCCATGCCCAGCCATACTGGGAGAAGGCTTCACCTCATCCATCTTCACCTTCTGCTTTTCCTCCACTGCAGGCTTCCCATGCCCAGCCATACTGGGAGAAGGCTTCCCCTCATCCATCTTCATGTCATCCTTTTTTCTCCACTGCCTTCTCATTTTCAACCGAAATGGGTGAAGGAGGCTCCACCTCATTCATCTTTACCTCATTCTTTTGCTCCCCTGCAGTATTCTCTTTTCCACCAGTAGAAGGCTTCACCTCATCCATCTTCACTTCCTTTTCCTCCACTGCCACTTGTGGTGTCACCTGCAAACATACTCAAACACAGAAATGAACATTAACCCTTTGGACAATTGCAGAGGGTATAAAACTCAAACCTCAAGTCAACCATGCCTTCAATCTCTTCTGGGCCCTCTCTTCAGCCATGGTCGCCCTCCACTGGTTCATCTGGTCACGCACACACTTGCTGGCTACCTGGCAGACAAAGGCCCTTAAGGATGGCTGCTGAAACAAGCCTGCACTGGCTGTGACATCAAATTCATTGAGCCGTCATTGGCTTTGACAAGCCTATAATGGCTATGCAAAACAAACACACAAGCCTAGGATGATCAAGACTTGTGCAGCCCCACCTCCTGCAGCATGTGGAGCTGGCTTTGTTCTGCTGCCCACTCCTCATAGAACTCCATCTCTGCATCATGCCCTCCAGAACCAGAGCTGGCCATGGCTAGGTCAGGTGAAACCTGGAGTGAAACCAAACCTGTGTGCTAATGGCACACACACCCACTAAAATTGTGGTGTCATACTCACAATGTAAACAGTAAGCATTCATCATGGTGTGTTTGGGTTGCAGGAGTTCTGCCATTGCTTTTATCCATGTGCTTCATGGACAGTATGTTTTGCATTGCTGTGTGTTGAATGTGTCTGTGTAATCCTGCAACTTCACCAACCTTCCCAGCTATGCTGGAGCTGGACATGGCTAGGTTTTCAACTCTGTCAAAAGTGGGCACCCCCAATGGTTGGCTAAACCAGCCTGTATTGGCTGTGACACCATGACATTGAGCAAGCCTATATTGGCTATGGCAAGCCTTTAATGGCCATGCAAACAACACAAGCCTATAGGGGCTGAGCAGCACAGTTTGGACTCACTTTTATCACTCTTGGCCCAAACTGTTGCTCAAACAGTTCTTTAACTATTGCCAGCAGATGCTGCAGGCCTCTTTCTTGTGTAGATTCGTTTTTTGTCACCAAAACAAGCATCCACATCTTGGCAAACATAGTCACAGAAGGCCTTCAACTGGAGTTCCTCCAAGACCACAAGCACCTCTGATTGTTTCCAATTAGCTGGTGTCATCATTTTCACATCAACACCATTCAGGTTCACAACGATGCTTTTGCCCACCTTCTCCAGGAGCTTCTTCCATGACCTTCTGGTGCTGTCATCACTTTCATGTGCACCATCATCATCATCATCATCATCAAACACTTCATTGCTGCTGGTGTCCAGGTTCAGCTCCTTCTTGACCACAGCTTTTTGTAAGCATTTGAGTTCTTTCCACTGAGGGCTGGATGACAAGTTCACAGCCGCAGCATTTGTGTATTCCTCCATGTGCCCCAGAACCAACTTGCCAATGGCATAATGTGATGGCTTGAACCTCACCCATGCCTGTCCATCATCATCAAAGTGAATTAGCTGGGCAGGGAGCACCACAGCAGGGCCATCATTGTATTTCAAGGAAATCCTTCTAGCAATTTCCATCACTGCAAGGGCTTGGGCCAAATAGTTTCCTCTATCAGAACTGGTGTGGTGAACATGCAAAACAAAACCAGGCTTTAGTAGTTAAAAGTTGACAAAGCTTTTTACAGGCTATGTAAGCCTTTACAGGCTATGTAACCATGCTGGCTGGAACAATGCCTGTACTGGCTATAAGCCACACCTGTTTCCTGCCTTTGGGTGCTTCACTTCCTAGCCTTCTTCTTGCTAGGTTCACTCTTCTCAGAAGAGTCCTCTTTCAAAAACATTAACTGCTGGCCTTGTGGGATGGCATCCTTGTTCTTTAAACAAGGGATTGACAAAAAGTTCTTGTACTTCACTTCACTCAGCTGCATGTTTGCCTCACTGTCTTCATTGGTTGGCTGCGCCCAGAAGAACATTGGGATAGCACCACTTTCTTTGTTCCAATCTACCTTGGGCTGAAGCACTTGGTACTTGACCTTTTCATTCAAGTTTGTCACAAACACTTTGTTTGCTCTGGTTTTTTCATCTTCACCTTTCTCTCCATCTTTCTTTTCATCCTTCACCCTTTGCACTTGCCCAAAGGGGTATATCTTGAGAGCACCTTTCTTGATGGGCTTCTTAGTAAAGATTTTGCTGTCATCAAAGAACAGCAAGCTGCTGAGGTCCACAGCACTTTCCTCCATGCAGTTGTTGAGCACAGCCGCTTGCACCTCAGATTTGGCAAGCTCTTGCAGCCAATGTGTTGATTTGCCCACTTGGAGTTTTGCCACAGCACTGTTGTCCAACTTCTTTGGAACAGTCTTGTCAGTAGGCCTCATTACTTTCAGCTCTTTGTGTTTCACCTCCACATTGCTTTCCACACCATAGATGTCTTGTACCACAAAGGTGGCAGTCTCAGCCCCCATGCCACTGAACCGGTGGATGAGGTTGCTGTCCTTCTTCATATAGTTCTTGCCTTTGACAAGCCAAGGGTACTGGTGCTGAGCAATCACTACAGCATCCATGTTGTCATGCAAGGATAGAACCTTGTCCTGGCTTTCACCCTCTTCAGCTGGCTCTTCTTCCTTTGCAAGCTTTCCACATTTTTCATCTTCTTGGAAGGCTTCATGGATGCTTTCCATGGAGCCAAAGCATTTCCTCTCTCTCCCTTTGCCTTCTTTGTTGCACAGCCACAAAGCAGTCCTTATGAAGAGTTTTGCCAGGAGGATGACATTGTCTTTGTGTTTCAAACCATTCTCTGACCCTTGCACCTGCTCAAAGCAAATCTTGAGGATGCTCTCTGCACCATTCATCTTCTCTTTGTACTGTGGGCTCCTGAGCTTCTCAACATCCCCTTTGACAAGAAGCTTGGCAACACCATCCACTTGCTTTGGGCTGCTCAAGTTGCATGCAAGCAAAGCAGCTCTGACCATTGGGTAAGTGGTTTCTTTGGACTTGAATGCTGCCATTGCAACACTGCCCATGAATTCTTCACCCAAGAAGTGGCTGCTGTTGAACAGCTTCTGGATTGAAGCCAAGAGGTGAACCAGGGGGAAGTCATCACCTCCTGCATACAGCCTCACCCATTTGCTGATTGCATCCACATAGCCCAAGCTTGTGGCTGCTTTCACCACAGCACAAGCATTCTCCATGCTGGCAGATGTCTTGTAAGTGTAGGCCAGACTCAAGGCAATCTCCATTTCTGTGGATTGTTTGGAAATTTCATTTCCACTGTTCAAGGCTGCCTGAAGCAGCTGTGGCATCCATGGGCAGCACTCCTCCACTTCACTCTTGATGCAATGCCACTGCCATCCATTCCTCACCATTGATTGAAAATGGTGATCTGAAGGGAACTGTGCTTCCAAGGTCTCCACTGTCAGGAAGCTTTCACCTAGTTCTTCATTCTCTGTCACACACTGACCACACCCAACAGCTTTGAGAAACTGGCTGATGTGGGAGCATGATACACTCATGAACCTCTCAGTACCATTCACTGGTGCCAACTTCCTCTCTGAAGCTGTGACAAGAGCCCTCATAGCACCCACTTGCTTGTCCCTTTCTTCTTTCTTGCTGCTCATTTCAAAGCAAAATGATTCAGACACTTTGCTCACTTGGAATCCCATCTTTAAAGCCAGCAGCCCTTTCTCATGCACATCAAAAGCATTCAACATCAACCCACTTCTGTTCTGTGGGTGCACTGTGAGGCATGAGGGTGCCAAGTGTTGCTTAAACAGGAGCCCATTCTCAGACAACAGCTGGCACACCTTGCTCAGCTTGAGGTTGATGGCCAAATTCTCATCATCCCTCACACCTTCCAAAGCTCTTTGCAAGCTTGGCTCCATTGCAAACAAAGCAAGGCCAAGTGCCTCAACCAGTCTATTGTTTGATGTCTTGTGTTCAGGTGTTGTCCTGTGTGTTCATGTCTTTGCTGCCTTGCAACCTGCTTGCTGCACTTCATGCTTTTCTTCTGTGAAAAACAGCAGCGCACATGCTTTTACTAGGCTTCAACTTGCCAAACAAAACTGATTCAAGCTGACACCTGGCATTCAAAGTGCCACAGGAAGCCTTCACAAGCTGCACATCCAACAGCATGTGCATGCTCAATGCTTCCAAACACAAGCTTTGCAGAGCTGGAACATTTTCAACATAGCAAGGCATGCCAAAAGATTAGCTTGCACAAGCTGTGGCATTTCTTTGCTCTCTCAGCAAACCACAAGTTTGCTTGTCTGAAAACAGAACACATGTATCCCAAACAGTTTTGACAAACATTTGTGGTCGATTTTTTACCATTATTTCAATTTGTAACGCTGCAACATGTTCCACCACACATGTATAAGTTGCTGTTTTTTGGATTTGTTGTTGAAATTTGAAGAAAGAAAAATCGACATTTTTGTAGGTTAGCTAGTTTAGCTAACTATTAGCTAATAGGCCTACATAGCTAAAGAAACTTAGCTAATGTCTACATAAAACAAATAACATTCATAATTTCCTTTAACTTCATTAATGATGTTAGGCAAACTTTATATAAGTATCATATTAACATACAGTGGAGTACCACCGTTATAACTTGTTATATCATCTTTTATCATCTTATTACAGAGGTACTAATCAGATACTACTTTGTTAATAAAGTCACTTAAAGTCTTAACACACTAGCAAAGCCCAGGCCTATCTAAGTAGAAAACACACTTCGATGTTCGCTTGTTCCTCGCTACAAGAAGACAGGTGCGTCATCACTTGTCCGCCTCGGGTATCATGCTCGTCTAGTGGGTGGCGTTTCGTCACGTCCAGAGTTCCCTCATGCCTCCAAACTTATTGAGCACATCTCCAATTATTCTTCACTTGCTAATCAGACTTATCCTCTCAATGTGCGCTTAGAGCTGCCTTTGATCTCATCTCTCAAGACCGTCTGTATTGCCCCTTATGCTTCGATGTCTTTTTCCGACGGTCAAAAAACTCTACCAGCGGGTTAAGAAATGCATTCGACAAAAGCAAGATCTGGCCACGATTTCGTTTTCTCATTGAAACCATGAATCAGAAAATTCGTAATTCACCTGTTTGTGTGAACCAAACCTCGGGTACCCCACCTATGTGGAAGGACCCTGAGGTGGGATGACGGATCGATCGCGAGTTGGTTTGGGCCACGAATCCGTCGAACGTCGGGGCGTAACAGAACAGGACTGTCTTCACGGTTCGTCAGAGGTGACCGACTCATTTTCCGTGAACAAATCAGGGAGATCTGGCTGATGTGAGTGGATGACTCAAAAAAAACATCACCAGTCTCATCCTTTCTTGTGGAGGTTCTGACTCGGTTGTGACTGACCATTCTACTTTTACACATTATGTTTGTCAATGTGTTCTTTTTAGACTTTGTTGTGAACATTGTGTGGAACCCAGTTCTTATCATACATCATCTTTATGTGTTGCTGAATCCTGTCGTGCACAGGGTGCCCATCCCACCTACAGGGTCCTTGACTTTTCTTGTGCCGCATCGCGTGAAGTCGTCCCACGGCTGCGCCAGTCGTCCCAGTGTATAAATCTGATAAATCTAACCGCACTGGCATAGACACGACCAGGCATGCTTTGAATCAATGGTTTACTGCGTATACATATATATATATATACATACTTGTATGTATATATACCAGCGCCACTCAAAGGATTGTTATTGGAATGAAAGCGAATGGTCAGAGGGTGTATTTATACCACCCTTGGTGGTACTATACATATATTTGTATATGTTGTATTATTTATTGCTATGTGTGTCGGGATGACGATGATGGCTTTACTGTAAAATGTGGTTGATGTTTAACCTTCACTTGGGAAAGATTACACTCCTGGAATATTGAAGTGGAAAAGAACCTGTTTGGTGTTTGAATCATGGGAGCAACCAAGGAGCCATGCCATCCACTTCGATGGTTTCAGGGATTGGGTATCTAAAAAAAAGCTTCGGTGGACTGAAACTACTAAGCAGGTATGAACAATGGGAAGTAACACCTCAGCAACCAGGTGTGCGAGGGATTCGACTGGTTGAGTGAATCCGAGCAATCGATTAAGAATAAGTTCATAGGTTGATGGGTTGATTGGTTCATTGATCGATCAAGTGATTGATCGCTTGGTATGTATTTTTGTGTGTGTGTTGTGTTGCTTGCTTGCTTGCTTGCTTGCTTGCTTGGTTGGTTGGTTGGTTGGTTGGTTGGTTGGTTGGTTGATGACCCATGATGTTAATATTCCTGCATATAATGTCGTTCTTCAAGTTCTTTGGAGGCTACGGTGGTTTACGCCATGTATATGTTAATATCAACCTTTCATTATCATCAGTTTCTCTCAACCTTTCGTCAAATTAGTCCAACCGTCCGACCAATTTATATACAATTGGTTGAACACTCTTCCGATGGGTGGTCTAAGTTTTGGGCAGTATGCGCTGTTGAGCAAAACATTTGTAACACTAAGACCTGAACCTGAGACCTACTTAGACAAAGACACATTTAAGACCTCCTTTGTAATAATGAAACCAAGATAAACCAAACATGTTGAACATGTCCCTCTTTCCATCTTCAACCTTCGCTTTCCCCTTCTCGAGGAGAGGTTCACCTGTAGCTCTTACCATAATCCTGCCCTGCCGAATTCTTACTAGTGGTTTCAGAGTAGATGGCACAATCCCCACAAGGGTGGTTATCTGGACCCCCACCCAAAAGACATGGTAGGGATTTGTGGTTTGTGAAACCACCGTAGCCGGAACCAGCATTTCTCGAGCCGAACAGACGAGACCTCACGGATCCTCGCGAGGATCGAGGGCTCAAGGAGGCGCTGTGTCGCGTGGCGGTGGAGAAGTTGGAAGAGACCTTTGCGCAGCAGGTGGGCAGACCCACTTCCGGTCAGACCCGAACAGAGGTGGAGTTGACGCGCTGGTGGCAGGGGCAGATACCGGGCAAGCCAAGCTCAAGCACAGCTCAAGTACGGTGTGTGTGTGTTGTTTGGGTTTGAGTTAACTTTTTGCGATTCAGAGAGAGGACACCTTACCTTCAAAGGCAAACGGAAGGGTAGTGCACATAAAGGGTTTTGCAAAAACCACCCTACCAACGTCGTGGAAGGCGCGTGACCTTCGTAGAACCCAAGGCTGTTCGTGGACGGTTCGTGGAATGGTGGGCCAGTAGGAGAACTGACTGCAACGAAATCCCAGAAACCTTCGCAGAACTTCGTGGAAGGTATTTTTGATGCACTAACTTCGTATAAGCGATTTTTGCTGACCCCCTTTCTCCACACACCCTCCGTTTAGCCTTCATACCTGAAGATGAGGTTTTGACACTGTCTCTATATGCACCTGTATTTTTGGTGTTATTTTTTTGTATGTGTCACTATATGTCCTGTATTCTTGCTTGCTTGCACAGGTGCCTTAGGGCAGATAGTTTCAAAGCGACTGGTTGGTGAATTGACGATGTAGAAGATGGTAGAAGGACCACTTAGAGGACCACTTACGGTACCTCTTGCATCCCGGTCTAGGTCCTGTTGTTGCCATGTGTAGCTCTCATGTGTAGCTATGTGTAGCTCTCATTCACTATCTCTAGCCATGTGTAGCTAGCTCTATTTGATCCGTTTTGTGATGAATGTAGCCAGGGCTGCTGCTTTGGAGCAAGTATCTCGGGCCCCGAGATGTCGGGTAGTTGATTGGCATGTCCCAGCAATTGGCACTTGTTACCTAGACCATCCATGTGTAGTAGTTAGCTACATGAGGGTATATGAGGCATGTTTCATGACTTAAAATGTATGTAACTATTCCATACAAGAGATTTTTTGTGCTTTCCACTTCCCTGACAGTTTCGGGATGCCATGCACCCCGTGACCATCGGCTACCTGTGGAATGATGAGGCGCTGACCAGATGGGCAGGAATTACTGGTGGCCAGCTGGTCTTCAGGAAACATGGCCATTCTGTTGTGAAAGGAATGGTGATTCTGTAGAAGCTTGGTGCAGGAGGGAGGTCTTCCTGCTCAGGGGTATGGACCTCTCAGCTTTTGCATGTATATATATAGATGTTCAGCATACCGTGGGTTTAAGTCGTCCCACATCACCGCGGTCTCACACAATGGGACATCAGACATGAAGCAGGACCTATTGGTGACTCAGATGTTGCAACATACCAATTCCAAAACAGCAGGACCTGTGCTTATGGATTTCAGAAGGATCTAGAAACACAGGATTTGTAAACAGCTGACTTATCAAGGTCAAGAACGACCTACAATTGCACAACTCGCAAGAATTGGTCCGTTTAGATCCGATTGCAAAGGACTTGATCCACATTTGGTCGACTGAAGCCAGGTGACTGCCTACATCCTAGAGCCACTTGGCAGAAGCGATCTTTCATCCGCAGGGCGTTTGCGTGGATCGGGCGTGGATCTATCTCCTCGGTGTGGGATCGCCGCAAAAACAAAAGTGAAGCGACCCATGGTGGAACTATAGGCTTTGTAGGGTGCTGGGCAGTGCCGGTGTGCTTGAGGGATCTTCGTCAAGCCAAAAGTCCCAGGAGTTGGATGCCTCTTGAACGTTCAGTCCGGTTCCAATCGGCCTGCGAGCCTGGTGGGTGTATACTGAGACTCCCTATAAGAAACGGTTTTTTTTCTCGTTTGGAACATAGATGTGAGATGAGTGGAGACATGTTCCCAAGGATGAGCTCTAGTTCCCCAAGGGCTGTTCCAAGCGATTCGTTGACTCACCTGGGGCTGCAGGATTGGATTTCAAGGCGTCCAGTAGTAATTGGATTGACATATATTATATAATAGTGTCCCAGTGTGGAGGGATGTGGAGACCAGGCTTTTTGGTTTAGCATGTATAGTATATTGCAACGGTTATATAAGTAATGTTAAGCATAGTACACAATCATGTTGTTTCCCTACATATATCTAAATATATCATATATTACAGGGATCTCATTTTACTGGACCTGGTCATGCAGAAACATTGCTCATTTTACCATGGATGTCGAGTGCTGGGTACGGCACAACCATTTGCTGTATCGCGAATGTGTGATGAGACCAGTCCGGAAGTAGAGGCATAGACCTGGAACCAACCCTCCCAGGTTTCTGGAACCAATCCACTGGAGGCTGCATGCACAGAACCCCAGTCTCAACCAGAAAGAAATGGATGTTTCCACCGAGAAATGGTGGGTTGTTTGACTTTCCAGGATCTTTAATCTTAACTTCAGACCGGCGGAACGCACACCCAGGCGCTTTCGACGGATATTTATCACCGCAAGGCCAATGCACTTGCAGAAAGCGTGCGCCGACCCCAACCTCCGCGCACCTCCGTGGGCGACCGGTCGCCGTGGCGGACGCCGCTGGAACCGTTCGGGAGGTACGAGTCCGCGGTGGTCTCGCGCATTCAGAAGCCGGAGGTGAAGTTCGTGGGCCCTGAACGACGGTCGTTCCGGTGGACAGTTAGCAGGTCGTTTCAGGTCGTTTCATTAAATGGAAGATGGACGGAAGGAAGGACTGAGGTGGTCAAATATACAAGTGTAAGTATATACTGAATATGGACCATTTGTCAAATACGCACGTGGTTTGGACAGAAGGACTGAGGTGCGTTCAAGACCCTTCTCAAGACTTATCCCAGACACTCCACGGGACTGGAATATACTGTATATCGTGAAACCACCGCCATGGTAAACACGCCAAACTACATGAAGGGTCTGGGATGGTCTGTGTAAGTACGAAATCATTCTGGAGTCCATACCTGGTCTTGAGCGTCCAAGTCCTCCATCCTCCCGTTTGGGGCTTTCGGGTGTCGACCAGTCGGTGCCTTTCGGGTCGACGGGTCGACCAGCAGGGCTGGTCCCCCTGCGCCAGCCCTGCGGGCCTGGTAGGGATGCACACAGGTCATATCCGACAAAACTTTGGTCATGTAGACTACACTCTCGAGAACTAATACATACAACTCACCAATTTGTAGAATCTCTTGGTATGAGGGGGTGATTGATCAGGAGTCTACATTACCGCAGTATGTCTGAATAAATAGTAGGACCAAATGCTGTACATACTCTGGTTAAGTATGGTTAAGTAATATGTTAGTTCGGGGAAATCAAGAAAACTGTCGAGCTGTTTAAGTATTTCTGGATTGGTCAGGAAATTTGGCCAACCCATACCGGTACCTTCCTTGATGGAATGTAACATCGGTCACCTAGTTACCTAGTTCAAACCCCACCAAACCTCAGAAGCTTTGTGTCATGTGGGTGTGTATGAAAATAGGATAACATAGGATGACCTCCCAGCTCGACCCCTAGAAGAAGGAAAAAACCAGAACCCATTGCTTGGGGATCTCCCTATCTTGTTCTTCAACCCCCAATGTGAAGTCTATGTCATGTTGAAGGGGGCAAAGTCGGGGACCGATTTTTGACCTGAAGTGCCTAAAGTGGGAACTTTTTTTCCGCAGAAAGGCTGGACAGAATCGATGCACTGTACGTGGGCTGTACGTGTTGCCAGGTGTGGCCTCGGCTCTCTCAAGATTCCAAGTCCTTCTATGTACGCCTTTCACAGAGGCATGGGATGGCATGGCTTCATGTGGCAGTCCGGGTTTATGCCAACTTTGCTTCGTTGAAAGGACCACCTTCAGGTTGACCAGTGGCTTCGCTCAGACAGTGGGCGCTTTGTTTCAAACATGGCGGTGGATGTGAGCCAGAACTTCCAGCAGGGGATTCTGCAGAACTTGGATGGTCTCAGACAGGTGGTCACCACCAGGTGGTCCAGGGTCACTTCAGGTGGTCAGGGTCGCCAGGGATCGGAGAAACGATGATCGTTTGGTGTTCTTCGGACCGTGTGATTGGGCGAAATCAGGCAGATCTCTCTTGACGTAGAGATGTTGCACCAAGCAAACCCTCACGTGAGTGAGTTGTTTTTTTTTTAATGGTTTGTTTTATGTTGTTGATTGTTTATGATCGTTTTGTGTCAGGGTCACCTAGGGGTGGGGGGGGGGTGGAGGTTGAACACCAAAGTGTTCGAAACGATCGGCCGGGCGACCGGAGGCATATTTCAGATCGAGGGCGCAGGCGCGCGTTAACACGGCCGGGCAGAGCGTTGAAACTGTACGGAGCCATTTGGGTTTCTGACAGTAATTACTTGTGCTTGGCAGCCACCTCAGACAGGCAGGGAGAGAGCTGGAGGTTTACAGATTTTGCGTGACCTGGGGTCGCAGCCTTGAACTTTAAGTCCAAAGACCTTGATTTCATTGAGCTCTGACCAGGTCCAGGAGTCCTGACCTGTACGACATTGTAGGATATATACTTGGGGAAGCAAGGCAAGGTTGTACTATCCTTCTTGAACGTTACAATGTTCAACCATGTTAATCCAAGGAGCCTTGGGGTTTTGTTGATCTTCATGGTCCCAATCGATGCTCGGCAGCACCGACGAGACAAAGCCAGGCCCAGCTCGGTGCAACGCGACGTCTCGCGGCATCTGGCAGACTTGGGCGAGGCGATCGGGCCGGTGGAAGGGGAGAGAGTTGCAGTGCCAGCCTCTGTAGAAAGACGTGGCTTTTGAAGGACCACTCCTGTGCTTATTCAGTCACTACCTATGTTGTACATATAGTTACTTGAAGGCCGGATCACGGTTTCTAGAGAGCCCAGATATGTAGACACCTTGAAGGTCTCTACAGAACTATGCCTGTGACCCAAATGACCTCCAAAAGAAAGCTAATGTAGACTGTAGACTCTTGATTAATAACCACCCCACGATTGAGTTGAAAAACCTCTTCATCTGGGGTGGTTTATTAATCAAGAGTCTACATTAATCAAACCTACACCCATGTTCAAGCAAGCAAACTCACACTTGAGAGGTCCACATTGCAGAGGAGTTGCTGGGCATTGGTGATGCCTGATCATTTTCGCCAAACATAGACCAAACCATCGGTTTGAGGAATTTAGGGGTCTCCCTCAAAGCCCCTAAGAGGACCAAGGTTCTGACCTAAAAACCATACCCAAACCCGCATTGTTTCGCCACCAACACCAAGCACCATGATATACGCTCCGGCACCACTTGTTTGGTCTTCGGAACATGGTCTTCCTTTCAGTCACCCCATGTGACGTGTTTGTCGGTGGAACTCTCCGCGGGATTTGTTTCTCCGTTTCGAGCTTCGAGGCGCATCGGAACTCCTTCCGATGGGGTCCGCTGTACATTGACATCGGGCTGGAGCAGTTGGAGGCCGCCAACGTGCCACGTGTCATGACATAGAAGGAGACATGAGGAGACGACAGGATGAGACAGGTAATATGGAGATATGGGTGGAGTACAGGTGTTGGAGGTGGAAGTTGTCCAATTCGTGGAAAGCATGGTTGCCTCAAGTTGGCAAGGGAGTGCTAAAGCCTATCTTCCGTTTGATTGGTATTGGACCAAGCATGTACCATGTCCTTTATATAGATCAGATGATTCAATAGAATGAGGCACTGTGTTGCAACTCTTAAATCTCGACCTGACCTAATTATAATTTTGGAGGTCTTTGGAATTTATTTTGAGATCAACACAGACCTCTTGGCCCAATCCGGCGGTCATTTCTGTGTCCCCTTTTGCTGAAGTCGATTTCTTTTAACAACGAAGTCTGGGGGAACACTTCAATCGAAGGGGTGACGCTACAAGTTGGTTGCACACTCCACAACTTGGAGGCCGCTGTTATGTATACTGTATAATATAAGTTTTGCTTATTGTATATATATATATTATATATATAATAATTGTAGCTTCATTGTGCATTCGCCTCTGAAAGCAAGATAACCCGGCAATTAACCTTTAGAGCCTGGCTTCAGTTTTGTTCGAAAGCATTCACATAGATCTGGCTGGGTAGCATATCACACGACATCGCTTTTTCCACACGACATTGCTTCTTTTCCATAGCAGATAGTATACCCAAGTAGAACACACACGCACGGCATCTCTCAGTTGCGTTGCTTTTTTCCACACCGAAACCACGAAGACCGCCTGGAGACCGCCTGAAACAGCCAGGTGGACGAGCGCCGCCGTTGTTTGATGGTGGATAGCCCCTCCTCCTTCTTCTTCAGTACAGAGCCTCAGAGCACCATCCAAAGGGAGGCCGAAGGGGTGGAAAAGTCTACTGTCTACTGTGGTACGTGGAACCTCAGAGATGGTGAATTGAACCTTTACTTGGGATAAATAATCCCACACTGAGTTAGTGAATTGTCGAATTAGTGAGTTGAACCCACCAATCAACAAAAGCAGTTTCATACAAAAGACAGATCGAAGCCGCGCAGAAAGCCGACCAATTTGCGGTTGTGATGAGATGAAAAATGCGAGCCCAGAAATTGCCCTCTTTTGGGTGGGCCTTTTGTTCTTTGTGTGGTGGGAAATGAGGCGTTGACGGGCTTTCACCAGCTGATGTTGACCTTCTTGAGTTATTGTTTCATCATTGGGTTTGAGACGGAATTGGGTTTGTGATGCCTGTGTATGTTCCATCTATCCATCCAGTGACACATATAATATACCTCGGGAATCTTTTGGATTCAGAAGGAAAAAGGTCATTGTTTTTTTTTGCCGGGTCTTATAACATCTATGTGCACCAGGCACCGGCCGTTGTTAAATCAAAAAGACCATTTTGCGCGGCCACTTACTCTCACCCTTTTAAGCTGCGTTGGAAGGCTAGAGATCCCTGGACCCTGTGAGGTGAGTCGACGTGAGGATTCGAAAGGATCTGACTGGGGAACCTTCGCTTTCATTTGCTTTCTAACGTGTAGACATAGTTAGCTCAAAGAGTTGCGGATCAACATCGGAGGTCGACAAAACATGATCACCTGAGGTTTCTAGCAATGCGTAGCACCGCTGAGCTGGGGTAGATGACAGATGTACAACCACATTCATGAATGACATACATTAATCAGTCCCACGACCATCTCCTGCCACTTGTTTTTTGCTTGCCCTTAGCTTGGATTTCATCCTCTATACCCGAACCCTATGTGGAATCAATCGGCGTTGGAGACACATGTGATCAGGTAGCGATCAATACCTTCCCTACAAGCGCTTGCAGCATTCTTTGCTTCTTGGTCGTTTCCGAAAGAGACGAATGACGTTTGGATGGCGCCATCGGCACGGATGTGCACCACAGTTTGGAACGGTGGAGAACGATAGAATGGGAAGTCACTGGTTTTGGTCCAGTGTGGTGCTTTTTCACCACTAGATCCATTGCAACGGATTGTGGGGTGGGCTCGCATCGTCTTAACTCAAGGTCGTGTACAATTTCTGGATGTGTGGCGTGACTGAAGGCTTGAGGAAGGAAACAATGACCTAGAAGGCTGCTGCACACCAGTCGAAAGAAGGTTTCCAGGAGCGAACATCACCTATATTGAATAGGAATGGGGAGAACGGTCACCCTTTTGGGGTCTTATTTTTAACATTTTTGTTAACCATATAGTTCTTGTATAGTTCTTGTGTTTGATATTACTACGTCCAGGGTGTTACTAAGAGAAGGCATAGGACCGGCTGTCTATGTCTACGCGTTGGGAACCCGCGGGTTCGACCAACTGGAGAGGCCTTTTTCGGAGCTCAATTTCAAGGAGCCAATTCCTATCCCTACGCCTCCGGTCATACCTCCTCAGGTTCGAGATGACTGGACCTTCCTCCCAGTCCCACCTTCTCAGGTACGACTGGAGGCCTAGAGAACCGGTAGAGGCCTACCGATTGGCCGTTGCATCGTCTCCAGCGCCGGATCTGAGGCTCACGAGTCTGGGCTGGGACGTGCGCCGTGTGCGCTGGGACGAGTGGCTCGAGCTGCCAGATGCTCAAAGGAGACTGGTGCGCTGGCTCGGTGCGCTCGGAGTGGAGTATTGATGTGAAAGGGAAACAAAAGTCACGAAGCCTTTAGAAGTGTTGGGTGATTTTTGCACATCCTATATAGTGAATGGAAAGCATTCAATGATTCCAATGTTTCTGGGCAAATCTGACCCGGAAGCAGCGCCCATTGAATATGGAACTCTTGGCAGTTGCTATAATTAAATCTAGATCTACTTATGAGAACCGGTTGAGGCTGCGTTTGGGCTCCTGCGATACTATAATACACAGGGGCGTGGGGGTTAGGTGCTGATTCCCTTGAGGGTGACTCTGATCAGGTGTAAGAAAGTGGAACAAAAAAATAGATCGAATGACTTGAATGCACACACTTTGTCACAGGGTTTGCAGTTAATAAGTTAATAAGTTAATAATCCACGAAAAAAACAGGAATGGTGGAAACACACACACCAAGAAAAAGGACTTCCACTTCGGAATTCGGAATTCGGGATGTGTTTTTGAACGGTGGATCCGATGCGTGCAGGAAGCGGGAATTCCTTCAGCAGCTGCTGAGCGGCTCGAGGCCCATCGCAGAGGACGAAGCATCTGGGATGGGATGGGAGGGAAGGGAGGAGAAGGGAAGGGGGGAGCAGGTGGGGAAACAACAACAATAAGAACTTAACGAATAGAATTAAGACAAACAACACGTAAAAACACACACATATATTATACACTTGCAAGTATATATACATGCAGTAATTCAAAAATGAACACATCTGGGAACAAGAGGTACGTCAGATTGGAGCAACATGAACAGGAGTGAAGCGATGCGCTTGGAAGAGCCTTCTTGTGCTACAACTCAACACAGAAGATGGACTGAAGAGTTTCTAAGTGAAAGTCGTTTGTCACCAAGCATCTATACCTTTTCGACGATACACCCTGCCCACTGTTCCGATGTCGGATGAACTGCACAACTTTGCATTCACCGTGGGAGAATGGAGCAAACCACAAAGAGGAGAAATGTCTTCCAAGGGTAGGTTGGGTTGCAGCAAGTTCATGAGTCGATGTGGTTAATGCAGCTCATGCATATTAATCAATGCAGGAAGATGCGCAGATGTCATTGGCAAAGTGATGTGGTCATGTGCTTGTGTTGGTAGACCCCCACCACGGGCCCTATGTCCGCACACAAGTCTGCACACATATGACATCAGAAAAGAGATCTGTTTCGGTCAAGATCTCCTTCTTGGTCCTGTCATTGATTTTTCGTGATCCCAATCTCCAAATTGATCCAAATTTACCAAACTAAATGGTTTACATTGAGACTAAACCAGGGGGCACCCTTCCCCTGGTTTCGGCTCCTCTTCTACCGATCCGATCGCCATCGCCTAGGAGCTGAAGGACCGGCCCGCCGTGCCGGTGTCCGAGCTACAAGACAAGCTCAGGCGGGGCGCCGTTCGCCGTTCGGTGCCGTCCACACGGGTGCCCAACACCGAGGTGAAGACTCCGTCAATCAAGTCATGTGTGTGTACAGGGGGTTGCAACGGAAAAGTCCTTAAGTCATTCATGTAGACATAGGGTAGACAGTTTCATGAGTCAAACTGAAGTTACTATACCCCCCCAGAAATGGGTTGTGCTACCCCTCCAGGCCTGGGGTGTTTTATTCATCGTCCACCATTGATGTGTTGGTGGAAGACACCCAAATAGAACCTGCACCCAGCAAAACGTAGCAACACACCCTGCCAACAGACACCCAGCCAGCCCTTGGCACAGATCCAAGGGAGGACGGAAACTGCTGGTGGGAGTACTGAGTACTCTGAGAGTCAGGGCCCACTGGTTTAGATGAAAGGCTAGAGTCTAGACTGGTGGACATCTTGAGCCATCCGGATCTGAAAGGTCCAAGTAGTCTGTAGGGTCCCATATCAATGATCTCGGTGATCTTTCTGTTCACCCAAACTGACTTGAGCTATCGTGGTCATGGTGGCCAGGCGCTTCAAAAGCTGGAAATTGGAGCTGGAAGCGGCCCGGGGCACTTGGAAGTTGTTTGTTGGAGCAAAGACTGGGACCCTGCGATCAGCAAAGATAGCAAGTTGCATAGAGTTGTTCCTTATTGTTCTTTGTTGTTTGCAAAGCTGGAACTCTGGAACATATTGATATTCTCGGAACCAGCCCGCAAGCGTTTGGTTTCAGGGAGGCCTCCAACGTGCAAGGCTTCAAAGGGCGGTTTTGATATATACGAGAATGGCAAGTTCCGTGTGTTCTGTTCAAGCTAGATTGCCTAGAGATGCCTAGAGCATGAGAACGCATTGTCAGTATACCCTTCAACATCCTTTTGAAACATAACTGTGGAATCCGTCCAATAAATAGTTTGGGCTCCGGGCCTACCGATTTCCAGAATATCCTTGAATGGTCAACTCATCATAATAGCCCTTATTTTGCTATTGTCAGAGAGCTGGTTGCAGAGGAATGTTGATTGGACGTACCCAGTTAATGCTGTTTGTAAGGGTTTCAACGTGACTTGGACCATTTTGGTGCACTTGTTTGTTGCACCTTCCATCTTCGAGAATGTTCCCGTGCTCAGGCCGAGCGTCAAACGGAGAAAATTGATTTCGAGATTTAGGCGCAAAAAGGAAAAGGCGCCTCACCAGATGCTGCTTCGGTGCCTGATGCTCGCCCTTTTTTCGGCGGGCTGTGAGTGAAGAAGGGCCCGGGGTGAACAGGATGTGTGAATGGGTGGGATGAACACTGGACCATCCGTTTTGAATGGGTGGTGCCCTGCATGGATGTTGGAATCACAATCCGTTTGTGAACAGTGATGGTAAAGAGGGCTTCCAAGTTCCACATGCATTGATGTTGGTCCAAACATCAACGAGGAGCACCTATTGATCGTCGCTGGAGCTTTACATTTGGACCACTTGTCTGCGCCAACCGGCAACTAGGCCATGTCTTTGTTAGCATTGAAACGGATATCCACAAGATCGCCATACAACTGCAAGCAGAAGAGAATTTTGAATCTCTTTGGTCCATGTTGTTTGCCACACTCCAGCTGGACTGGCATATTTACCTACATGGGGGGGGTGCTTGAAAAGAGGTCAATCTAGGTGTGTATAGGTGTGTGTATACACGTAATTGTATATACAGTATATAAATATATAGTACAGTGTATATTATATATACATGCCATTATGACACGCATGGAGTGTTAGTTTGGGCACCTACCACGTGGATTCGATTGGGCCGGCCTGTACACCTTTTCTTCGTCCTCCCCACCTGTTGTAGCCGATGTTGAGTTGATGGTTATATGCTTTTATACAATGGGATCCTCTACGAAGAGGAGATGGCAATTCATCCATACCGACCTGGCTAAGCAAGACTGGCGGAACAGAAACTGCTGGCCTTCTCGCTTGCCTTTTTTGGATCCATCCAGCTGATGTTGATGCGAAAGGCAACACGAGTGGAAGGCGTGGGGGAAACTCACGGGTTAGACTCAGCACCTGGCAGGCGCTTGAAACGCTTGTATCAATACATGTATAGCCTTCTATGTTGTTAAATGTCATCATTGGACCAGGATCTTCGAGCAGTCCTTTTGGTCCGCCGTGGTGCGCCCCCCTTTCGTTGAAACAGACCCAGCAGCCGCACCAAGAACCCGCATCAAGAAAAACACAAGCACCAAATCAAGAAGATCATCAGCAATCTACCACAAATCAGATCACAACCTCAGATGATCAAGTGCTGAGATCCAACTGACCACAGGGCCACCTGCAAGTTTTGCTTCGATTGCCCAAGTTTTGTTGCTTCTGGCGCGGAATCCGCGCGCGGGCTGAGCGCCGTGCACGCGGCCGCCATGTTAGCCCCAGATGTGCAGTTGATGGTGCATTCGCCCCGACCTTGGAGAGTTTTTGGGAGAGCTCCAACACACCTATGGCGTTTAAATGTTTTCGCATTTTTTGTGGCGAACGAATGTTTACTGTATTTAGAGGACCCTTTCTAGGGCGGCTTGAAGTTCGGAACTTGGATAGTTTTTAGTAGCATCCTGTAATTGGATGGGTTTTCATCCAGATAAATATTTGCAGAGAAGGGACCCTGCGGTTTTTGTGTAGGGCTGTTCAATTTCCTGGTGACAACAAGTGTACATAGTCCTTTTCAATCGACACAGGATCGACACTGGACATTTGTAGTCTTCTGGCCAGAAGCTTTTGAAAACCCTGTTATTGTATATGGCAGAATGCGGCCAGATTCAGATTATCACCAGCCTAGATTCTAGATCGTGTTCTTTACTTTAAGAAAATGCCAAAACGATCCAAAAGGCATTACATCGTCAATGCTTGCAGACTTGCAGATTAGTGGATTACGAAGCGGACTTATACGATCGATCCAAGTACTGGTAAGCATGCCTCTACAGCTTCATGGACTGTTTTGTTGTCCTGGTCATAAGAGCACCTGTAGCAGTTTTGGTTGCCTTTTTTTTGATCTTAGCTTCCTTCCATATAGTAGCAACAAATAAGATGTAGAAGTGACACAAGCTGCCAATATCTATATTACATATGTAAAAGCAGAAAACATCCTCCAGTGTGGACCAGAACTCGCTGGACACAACGGCCGAACCCATCCTTCAGATCTGTCGTGAAGAAGAAGATGCCACCTTCACAACGATTATAAAGGCCTCAAGTGAAGAACTCAAGCTGATAGACATCTACTGCAATTTCTCCCAGGGTATCACTCCAACCCTGGTGTTTGTTGCAGGTGACCACAGCAACTAATCCAATTGATCAATTGATGCATTGCCTTAGTTTTTCAGCAGCATTTTGTTGTTCTCCTTCACCTCACCTCCCTGAAGAAGACCGTCCGGTACCGGTGCCTCAGGTCAGAAGTTCTAGACGACGAGGGCTATGTGCACCGGGGCTCTCGGCTCACACAGCTAGAAAGGCCGCCAATGGGGCGAATTATCTAGAAGGGGAACAGCCTAGCAATCATATATGTATGGCAAGTTCTGCATATGTATATATATATATATATATATGTGAGTTTCATGTATATCTGAGATCTTTGCACAAGTTCTTCAATGGTGCGAGCGTCGTGAGGGCGTGAAGTAGCAAGCAGCCTTCTTGGCTGGTGTAGTACATGGGTGTGTAGACTGAGATAGGGAGGTCTCTTGACTGGCGTGTTCCGGACCCCCCTGAAAGGTTCGGAAGACCAGTCTACCCTCCAAGGAAGACCTACTACTGAGGGTCATTCCCTCATTGCAAGCATCGGCTTTTGAGATTGGCATTGATGCCACACTACTATACTCACTACTACTTATTGAGCCTGGTGCGTTCAATCTGAGATGTTGATCCGACAAACCCAAACCATCCCAAACCAATGGACAGGGCTGTTTGGGTTATAGCTGAGTTATAGTTGCAAGATGAGTGTGCAGATGGTCTATCTATACTTGGCACATAAAATGCTGGAGACCCTGCAAAGTACAAGGTTCCCATAAAGCAAGGTTGAGGTGCGGCAAAGCAAGCAATTGCGGTTCACACATTTTTGTTGTAGCCACTTGGGAAATAGGAAAACGATACAAGCAACAGCAATCAATGGCGAGGGCTCTGCTTTGTTCATATTACATAGATATTGGCAGATACCTTGCCAATAGTACCAGCTTCTTGTTCATGTCCATTTACACCCACAGCAACAAAACACATATCTTCTGTCCCACATTGTGTTTGCCCCCCCACACAGCTTCTTCACTTCGCGTCCCACGTCGACGCCGTCTTGTCACGTCCCACGTCAGGGGCAGCGCCGAGCCGCCCGAGTGGCGGCTCCGGGACTTCGCCTTCGCCGCCTACAGCGGGCCGAACGCGCCCGGCCTACGGGAGGCGACGGCGACGGAAGAGAGGGGGGGGCGAAGGGATGCGAAGGGTCAGATGTCTCTCATCAGGGGATGGTGTAGGGTATAACTATAGGCAACTATAGGGAAGTATGCTGTGCGAGGGGCTGGAGGGGCTGGCAAGAATCTGGTAAGCAGTTCTAAGTTCCAAGGGTTTTGCTGAGAAGGTAAGGCTTGGATTGTGAAACTGGCTTCTGAGCATGTGGTTGGAGGCAGACAGATAATGTTCTGATATTTTATGACTGATTAAATCTGCTGTACTTCTTAGGGACGTTAATGAAAGGGCACCAATTTTTAGCAAGATGTTCTTGGAATGATAGGTATGGGGAGGGTCATAGGTGGGCCGGGAGGAGGCCTTTTCTCGGGTCATGGAGCCATGCCGCAGAACGGTCCGTTATTCTTTCTCCAAGGATCGATTGAGCCATGCGTGGCAGATGAGCGGACCAGACATGAAACTCAGACACCGAACAATGGCCTTGAACACGGAAATGATGAAAAGCTATAACAAAAAATATCTCAAGACATGTGAGACACATCCCAATTCTTTTGCCATGAGCCTGGAGCCTGTTAAACCTGGTTTCGTTCCCTCCTTCCGATGCACACCTGCTGCGAAGAACCGAAGCTCTCCAGGTTTCGCATGTATTTGGGAGCTTGAATGTTGTTCATTCACTGATCAGTTCAGTTCCCTTGCTACAGATGACCTTGTATAGATCTTGTTGGAGGTTGCTCACGACAACAGATAATATTGTTAGGCACGAGCGGAACAATCAGAGGCGCCCTTCTGTGTAGCATGGCCAGAGCAGTGCTGATGCCACAACAGATAGACTACATACAGTGGTCATGTTTCATGCAGCAGTCAGAGCAGTCAGTGAACCCATGCACAATGATTGCCTAGGTTGGTAGCATCTTTGGGATCAACAGGTTTGCGTGGCAAGCCCCATGTCAGGTCCACTTCGGTCGGAAGAGCATTTGGGCCTTCGCTGCTGCCAGGGACCACACTGAGGCAGGGGGGAAGCGGGCAGAGCCACTTCACGGCACGGCACGGGAGTCAGTAGTGGTCCTGCAGATCCAATCCTTGAGGCTTTCTTGGCCTAAGTAGACAACCTGTCAATTCCTTCCATAGCCTTGTTTTAATCAGAGGTTGCCAAGCTGGACCGTCCAGCCAGGTTCTTTTTAACAAGCTGCTGTTTGCATCCACTGATGGTCCATGTTACGGCCATGATGTGTTTTTCCTCCTTAGGAGGATTGCTGAGCACTATGTGTATTCAATTCAAAGCCTCTTCCTCTCCCTACACACCTTCTACAGTGCATGTCCCTGAGTGCACTTTCGGCTGGGTGTCCCGGGGTACAGGGGGCGTTCGACATGTATGGCCAACCCACCTCAATCTTTTCCTTCACGAGTCCTTTGGTCTCAGCTAGGAGATTGTGGTCTTCCGCAAAGGCTCCGATGCCCGGCGGAAGTGAGGATGCCTAGCGCGTCGTAGTGGGGCGCGAAGTCCACATGAACCGCGGGAGTCCAAGCATATACTGCCCCTGCCAGAACTTCTGGGTCAATGTCAAAGACCATGTTTGGCAAAACCATAGTTAACCTATGTGTATACATATATATATATTTTTGGAAATTGAGACAAGAGTCTTGAGGGAGGTATGTTGGTTTGTGAAAGACATGGGTCCAGAATCAATCTCGTCAGGGTTCATGCTTCGGGGGTTGCAGCCAGTGGAAGGAGTTCGCTGAAATTTTGTGATCAATTCAGCTAGATGGTCCTTGCCTCAGGATCTACTGAGTTGCTATACCCAGATGTTCATTGACCTTCCGTTCAGTAGCGGGCTGACCCTCTCAGACATGAGAGGTTTGGTTTGGGGTCTCAAATCCTCAGGCTTTGCCAGTGGCGCTGTGACAGAGTTTAAGCGGGTGGGTTATCTTGGGATGGCACCCCATTTGCACGGGAAAGGGGTTGTGTGTAGCTCAAATAGCGAGACCTTCCAGATCGACCCCTGAAAGAAGGGACAAAGACCAGTCTAACCAGCCAGGGCCAGAAAGGCTCCCCATTGAAATATACAATTCATATTATATGGCCGCCTCGTTGAAACCTCCTGCCTTTGAAGTTGAATCGTTTAATTTCCCTGTTGGTTGCTGGTGGCTGCCTCGTGCTGGACATACAAAACAGATAAAAAAGATACGCTGGACAATTGTTATATCACTTTGCAAGTGCGAACCCAAAGTGCACAGGCTGACTCGTGGGCTTTGCATTGGGTTGTGGAGTGGACATACCAATAGGAACCGGATACAGTAGTTGAAAAAAATAGCATAGAACCGCATAGAAATACACTGCCTGTACTATACGTCAAAGTAACAAGGGATTGATGCATTTTGGAACATGTTCGAACCACATTGGCAGTGTATACAGTTTTTTTTTCCCAATTATGGATCACAGATGATCACAGTTCTACTACTCCTAAGAACATGTTCCCAAAGTGTTTGATCTCTCTAGACGATGCTTGGCCTTGAAAAGGACCCAAACTCACCTCAACTCACCATCCTGATCCAGGTGGGACGAAGACGCCCTGAAGGAGCCCAAATCCGGCGCTCGCCTCGGAGCGGGAGTAGCTGGAGTAGTTGGAGTAGACGGCTGAAGTAGCTGGAGTCGACCTGGAACTCGTACCCCAGAAAATGGGTACAAGTACCTGTTGTTATTGGTGCCAGTATAGGAGCATGTGATTTGTTTGTTATTTGCAATGGTGTTGTGGGAGGCGGAGGTGTTGTTGGACAAGCGACTATATTAGTTGTTTCATGGTGGGTTTTATCGGGTCTGTCAAGGATCCAAGGAGATCCAAAAAAAGGTTCATGTCGAAGCACCCACGTTGTCCAGGACAGCTGAATCATCCGCACTTTTGTGGGTTTGGCGCCGGACATCCCGAAGAAAACATTTGGTGTTTACTCCATGTGACATGCCACACACCCGAATCAGCATGGTTCAGTCGGTTTAAGAAGAGATGTTTGAAGCCCCAAATGAACAGTTCATCCCTCAGTGGCTCCTGGGGATTCGAGCAGCTTTGAGATCCATCCATTCTTGAACAAGTGAGAGTGCCCGTGGCTGATTGCAACACTTCACAGGCCACTGTGCCAGTTGTCAAAAAGGAAACTTCCACTCCAATCAGAGTCTGAGTGACAGGATTGAAATCAAATGTGTTTGCTGCTCAGGGTCCGCAATCATTCAAAAAATGTACACTCCCAAAGCAAGCATGTGTATTGCTGGTCCGTGTCAGGTTTCCTCACATGCAAATCATGCCTCCCTCCCCCAGTTTTGCGATGTGTTTTGTCATTCTTCCGCTCAGGCACAGATATGTTCTTCGTGATGAAGCCCAGCACTGAGTGCTTTTTGAGCTCCTTTGGAGTTTTCAATTCTGCGGTGTTTGGCAGTGCTTTGGAGTTAGGTACGAAGTCCTTCCAAAACACGTGACCAGTGGTTGGTTCCAGTTCTTAAGAGTGAGTGCGTTCCATGCCGGGAGTCTCTATCGCAGTAGGGTTCCATATATATATATATATATATATGATCGCGATGGTATAATATATCACTTCCACCTATGCACACATCCGATGCATGGGCGACCACGCGTCCGTCGTTTGCGTTCGTAATGTCCCACGTCCGCCACAAAACCAAGGATGCGGCAGGTTTCTCCTGAAACTCCACTCTCCAAGCAGTTCAATGGCCACATGGTTTCAAAACTGGCGCCGGGCACTGGAGTCCACGTGGACTGGATAGGGTGATGCAGAGAAGGGTTGGCTTGAGACATGAATCTGTGAAGATTGGCCAAAAGCCCGAAAGGCTCAAGGGGGAAAGCATGGACACCGCAGTCAGAGTGTTTAAGGACACCGCTCACCAGTGAGGTTGATGAGGTTTGTCATGCCGCTTGAGTCCCTGAGTTCAGATGAACAGATGACTCAAATGCAAGCATTCCAATGCACTCCGCACCAATGGTGGTATTGGTCCTGGACCACATCACCATGTTTGAACCTTAAACAGTCTAGTAGGCTTATGTATGGTTAATGTGATGTTATGTGACATTGGGCTATTGCGCCAACCATCATAAGCCACGGTGGGCGGTGGTTGGTTGAACGTCACATTCATCATCCAACGTTACCTTCGGTCGTAGGGCCACGTGTGGCGTGAAATTCGGTGCCATGCCACGTGAGGGGTGGCCACGAGGAGACCGCATGTAGATCCACAGGGGTGGAAAGCTGGTTTGTCTCGAAAGCTGGTGTTGCTTACGAAAAGGGTCCTCCGAAACGCTTGGGAAAGCTGCAAAACATGGGGTTGTTTTCTCCCACCAATGTGGACTTACGTGTGGCCTGGCCCAAAAAAAGGTCCTCAGACTAGCACCCTTCCCAGGTGAGTGGGGATTCTGGGAGAGCTTCTTTGTGCCTTTGCTGGATGAGCAGCAAACCATGCAGGCCAGAATCCCGAGGGGGGGAAACGAGGCAGCTCGGCAGTTATAGATGCTTGTAGAAAGCGCGCACCTTTTGATATTCTGCGCAGCATTCTACAACCTTTAACTTCAAGCGCTTTTGCTGGCCTGGCTTCCCACCGCAAGTACCCCAAAAGTATGAGCAAAAACAAAGATAATATAGGGCCAACGCATATCATAAATGTACTCAGCAGGTGACACAACAAACCGACAACAACAACAACAACAAGAAAAACAAGGACAACGATAACAACAACGACAATTCAATTATCACGCACCTGTACTTGTGTCAAAAGGTTTGCACCACGGACTCGTTGCCGAAGAAAGGTCCGAGAAGCAGACAAAGGGTGAGGGCCATTTCACTGTGACCACTGTGACCACTTTGGGGTTTCTTGACGTTCTTGTGAGGTGCGTCTGGCTCCAAGGCATTTTCATATGTCAGGCATGGGGAAATGGACTGGCATTCCATCAGTTTTGTAGAATCGAAGAATAACTAAGCACCTTGAATGCTGAAGAATGCTGGAACCAGACTGTTTTATTACTGGACAGTCGACAACGCAACGGTCAAGTTCGGTCGTTCACGCTTCCGTTTTGATCCTCGTTTGCACAATTCTTTTTGACAGACCTTACAGGGCCCTTGGTTCGCCCAGAGTCTTTAGGGGATCATATAGTCGCGATCAGTATATATAATGAACGCCAAGTAGATATAGTAGATAGAACATGATAGAACACTAAAAATCCATAAAAATCCATTGTAAAGTAGATAGAATGCTAAATCCACTCTATAACCAATTGCATTGGTTGAGGTCGGTTGTAGGGTTGTTCAGGGTCCATGTTGGTCCGCTGGGGGGGTGGCCGTCCATGGGTTGGTGTTCAGTCTGACGAGGCGTTCGCGTTGATGGACCCAGCGATGTGCGAGGAGAATGCCGCGGAGGGGAGCAGAGACGATTCGTGCTGTCGTTCCATGCGACACTGAAGATGAGATACATCCACGAAGTACGGAAACGAAGTACATACGGTCACCATTGACATGAATGATTACCTCCCTGACACATCCTGACACATCGTTTAGGAATATCCAGGGATAGGATTCTATAGGCTATAGGGAATATCATTTGGAATGAAGTTTGATTTTGCCCCTTCAGTTTGATTTTGCCCCAGCGCACTACTTAAGAGCTCCCCTGGAGACCCGTTGATTGGCCCAAAAATTACAATGTTGTATCACTTCTATGATCCTGCAACACATAGCTCTTAAGATCTCCTAAGTACCTGTACTAAGAACCAGACGCAGCATAGTCTGCTGGCCCGACCCGGGCCATTTAGTCCTTTCCCCCCCTCATGCGCCGGGAAGGACTTCTTTCGACCAGGCAGACTGCCTGTGACGTGCCACCGGTGCCCTGAGAACCGTCAGGCAGTTCGTCCTTCGTCCTTGCGCGCGCAACGCCGTATTCTGTGGAGACTTGCATTGCATCGGATGGGAGAGCCTTTTCTCCAGTGTTTCGGTGGAGAGTGCGATCCCCAAACTGACAAAGGTTAATTGCTGTGTCCCATTTGCTTCTTTACGGATGCATCGGTGTGCGTGTATGTTCTGTCAAGCGGAAAGTGGTAAGGTGCTCGCTTGGTTCAGATAGCCCAAAACCATCCAGGGGACTGGAATAGTTACCTACCTATATATGGGATAGCCTATAGGGTTCTTCAACCTCTGTTGGTACATGGATGGGTCTTGTTCATTCCCGTCGCATGCAACTATTCCCGTCGCATGGATGGTCTGGGCTGCGGCTTTGGGTAGGCAGACCATGGATGGATGGGTCTCAAAAATGACGTCCCCCAAAAGGCTGGAGGTGGGATCCCGCTTCAAACGTAGCAAAACGCTGCTGGGAGCCTGTTTTTGATCTACGACCAGGTGCTGACCATTCCAGATGATTTGGTGGTGAAGTACACGCTGAAGGCGCACTGAATCGCACTGATATCGTTTTTCTTAGTAAAGATGCTTTTGCTGCAGCTGGTTGCTGCTGTGGTCCGGGTTGTTGTTATTCGTTGTGTGTTCGTTTTGGTATGGTTGCTGCTGTGGTTGGGTTGTTGCTTTTGTTGTTGTATTTAAAGGATTTTGAAGGTCTTGATGTTCTGTATGTTTCTCTCGGAGGATCATGATGTGTTGTTTAGGCAGGATCCCCAGTGCGTGCTTCTCATGTTGGAGGCTGAATGGAAGATGAAGGGTCCTGCAGCAAGAAACAATGACTCTTCCCTTCCCCAGCCAGGGACGTGTCGATGTAAGGCATATATATATATATATAATTCATATATATTAATAACCCTAGCATGGAAACTGGCGATGGCTTGGAGGCTGTGGCTGTGTTTGGTCTCTAAAGCCTTGCACATTCGTGGGTCATGCGCCTTCAGCGAGGGCTCAGGTCGTGGGTCATGCCAACATCCCAAGTAACGTCCCAACGTCCATCATCCCTGTCGTAAGAAACCCAGGCGTCCCGAGAACCAAATCGACCAGTCTGGGGCTTGGGATTTTTGGATCGGAAGACAGTACCGCGCGGCTCACACGCACGTGTTCGCACGCACGCATGCGACACCACACGGAAAAGACCAGTACCTGTATCGCTCGGTCCGACCACGTTCTCGTGCTCTCCGCTGGCAGGTGGTTTGTAAAGATATGGAGCAGTGGTCCGACCTTTGCAACAAGATCGGTCGGAGCCTCGTGGAATGTCGTGATGCGACGTGCGTGGAAGGCAGGCTGTTGGTGGGTATGGTATGGTGAGATCAGATCAAGAGAGATGCAACGCACCCATGTTTGTGTGAGTGAATGGACTGACTAGTGATTTAATCTGATTTATACGACCCACCATGACCAACCCATCGGAAAAAGCTCATCTTTAAGCATCCACCTCAAGGTTTTGGTGTTGCCCTTGATTGTCACTGACACCAAACATAGAAACAGAATGAAACAGAGAGCAGCAAAAAAGTGACGAATGCCAACGTGTTATCATCTCAAGTAGCTTTGACCTACCTTCCAAGAAGCAAGACAGAACAATTCAGTGCCAAATACCATTCCGAGTTACACATTCTGGTCGGCCGGGATCCCTCAAGGAGTCCTCAATCTGTTGCTCTCATGGTGCTTTTCGGTGTTTCATGTCCAAAACCCGCGAGGTTTGAAGCCAGGCAGGCCTAATGTCCCTCCAAAGAGCTGCCATGTCCTTTTCCCATCCACCACCTTGCACTGGGTAGGTGAGGACATGACGATGCAGGCGGGATCGCCGTCGGGGTGGAGACGGATCCATGGTGCGAATGAGACGGATCCGTCGATGGACGAATTCCATGTGTGCGGCCTTGGGAGTTCCGGGGGGGGTGTTTCTTCGTTCGGGTCGGACGGTCTTTGGCTCCGCGACGACGCTTGGAGTGGCTCCGCTGGCAGTCGGCTATACAAAGCGGCCGATGTCTGGTCAGCAAGGGAAACCCAACATCACCAAAGTCACACTGCCACTGGATGTTGAATCATTCTTGAAGTTGGGTAGCCAGAAAAAACAATGTCGAGAGAGTACTCACACAAAAGACCTAAAAGGTGCGGGATGATGGTTCCGAACAAGAAACACTAGATTGAACATGATTGAACTCATTCCTGGCTACCTTTTTGGTTTGGTATGGCTGAAACAGGCATTACCCCGAAAGAGTGTTGGTGCGAGCAAACTTGGCCATCCTGTCATGAAGGTTTGTTGATGTTATTTCGTTTCAGCTAATCTAGCGGAGTCTTTTCTGACTGGGAGAACAATAAACGATGACACAGATGATTTCTAAATATATAGCCCACAAAATGTTACCTTTATGTCATAAAGGTGACATTTCTGTTGGCTATATATTTAGACAATTTTAAACAAGCATTGTTTAAAATTTGTTTATAGTTATATGTTTTATACGATCCGTCGAGTCTTCATCCTGGGTGGTAGTCGCCTCGTACAGAACCCCAAAAGCACGCGCATGGTCGACACAGGACACTTGCATTATCGAGTACAAGCACCTCAAGTCCGGTGTCCCGAGTCCAGCTCCATCTGCTCCGCTCCTGCGGGAGACGCGACCGAAACCGAGATCCCATGACGATGACCGAGACCGGCCCACCACGGAGGAAGGGATTTCGTGGTCCGAAACGGGTTGATCGGTTTCAGTATGTTTCAGTCCGTGTGCGGCTGTGGTTTTGTTCAGACGACGGGTCGTTAGGGTCTATAGCTGGAGCGATGTACTGAACCAAGATGAAGAGGCCAACCGGGCCTGTGAACAGATACATCGTGGAGTTCATGACCGGTTTGGTATTTGGATTACATGGAATATCCGAGTCTTTGGGTCCATGCCATGCAATGACATGACTACACCCGGATTTTTTTCACATGGACGCTGATGGCATGGACCTTTGAAAGACGATGTTCCTCTATAACATGTGGTTTTGAGGTTCCATGTGGGTCTCTTCCAGGGCTTGGCTTTTCTTCTTAACAGCTTCGTACAGTTAGGTTTGGGATCCTAACTTCGAACATCCGCTGACTTTTCGCGAGTGACATCCCATTTAACGGCCAGAGTCTTGGAAACCAGCGGTGGATTCACTCAACATGAATGCTCAACGCAATAGTTTTTTTTTGTTTCTGGGGTTTACTTCTCTCTCTCAAAATAAACAAATTTATCATCATAACAAAGCATGTAACCTTAATTTTATACTGGTATTATATAGTAATGTATAGTAATATATAGGTTCCACGTTAGTATTCCGGCCTGGTGCGAAGTGTGCAGCACGAGCAGCACGCCTCCTCCTCCCCTTGGGTGGACCCCGTGGGCGCCACCAAAGCCGAGGCCTGGTGATGAGTGTGTGGAAGCGTACCACGAGACCACAGGGGTGGAGGACTGGCACCGGTGAACGAAGGGAACACGAAGGGAAACGGGGGGGATGTCATGTGGTGAAGAGTGGGTGGCTGCAGGAATGAACTTGCTGAACCTCAATTGTCTATAATACGAACATGATGACTATGCAAGGAGGATGAAGAGGTTCAAGATGACTCACCAATGCAGCTTGTGTAAAGATGATGATCTATGATGACTACATGACTATACACATCCCAAGTTTATACTATATACATCCATACCCAGACACGCTATAGGACTGGAATACCTACATTGAGCTGAAATCAACCGCCCCAAACTGATTCCCAGTCGTGACTCCCAGTCGTGACTCCCAGTCGACAGGTCGTGTTTGGGAAAAACACACTCCCTGTTTTGTCATCATTCCCTAGCCTTCCAACCACTATGGATTTAACATGATTTAGATAAGCTAGCCTTCCCGAACGACCATTGTTTTAACTAAGGATTTTACACTACAAAACCAGGTGAACCATGAAAAGGCTATAGGGTGTTTACACTACATAACCATCTTACACTACAAAACCACAACTGCCATGGGCCCTCTCTTCAATCCATTAGACCATTTCTCTTCAAAGGCTACTAGGGTCATGGTCATGGAAGGCTGTGGGGTGCTGAACACGGTAGCGTCGCCGTAGCGAAGATGGCCTTCCATCGAGCATTGATGGTGAAGGTTCGTTTGGGTGATGAATATTTGATTGTAAGTGGAAATGAATACTTACTGTAATATGATATGTAAATATATGTAATGTATATATATATATATTTGCATATATGTGTAAAGGGCTAGAAACGGGGTTGTTCACAGTTTGTTGAGAGGTTGCACTATAATGCGCTAGACTGTCTATCTTGATTCATTGAATCACGGTTATGAAACTCCTATATACTTGAAATATCAACACACGCTAAATCTTGGGCATCAATGGCAAACTTTGGAATTGGTTGCACCAAAGCCAAGGACTGAACAGAGCGACCACAAACTCAAACATCTAAACTATAGACCCGAACACGTATTCGCCACCAAGCCGAAGTACCTTAACGTTCAAGTCCTGTAGTAGAGAGAACTTTATCTCGACGAGTTTGTTTTTTGTTTTATTGATCTGCAAACCTAGACTGAACATGACAAAAAAAGGCACATTCAGAAAGTCACATTCACGACATACATTCAGAAAGCAACAACAGGAACAACAAGCATGACACCCTTCAATATATGGACCAGGATCAGCAAAACCTCAAGAAAAATCATGTTGTTGTTTCCTTTTGGGTGGTTGTGTGTTGTTGTTTGCTTTTAATTGTACCCGTTTCTGTGCTCAGTGGCATCTGGAAACTGTATGAAACATAGCAACAAAGATGACACACATTAAGGGGAATGGGAGTCGGCTGTTTTAATGGGTGTTTTCTTGTTGTTTCTTTTGTTTTTGGCTTGTACAAGTTTGTTTCATCCCCAAATCACCAGTCATTAACGACTTATCTAGAGTCACGATGTTAGTTGGTATTTCGCACCAAAATAGATGTCAAATGACAAGCTTTCTAGGAAGGACGTGCCTGACTTACCTCCTCGACTCTACTGACCGGCAACTCTTTTTGTTCACGATGATCATCTGAAGAAGTGATGAGAATTGACCCCATGTAAGGTTGGTAGTCTACTCTTGTTTACTCTATGTTTAGGCTCCCAAAAGCACCTTGTTCTTCTTTCCACTCCTTCAGCAGGCATTTAGGAATGCCCCTTGTTTCACATCAAATCCAGTTGCCACGCCGCCCTCGCCGCAGCACTTTGGTTGCCCTATCTCCCGCTTCAAAAGCCAAAAAGAACAAGGTGCTGAATCAACACGACATGCCAGGAGCACGCGCGGCTCTTGAAGCGCGACTTCGAGCAGCTCAAGCTGCCGGTGGTCACCTGGCTTTGTCACAAGGGCTCCAAGGAGAGCTGAAGAGCTGAGAGCGTGCGTTGATATGAGCCCAGTTGAGTGGAATTGCGCCTGACCTGAGCAAAACATCTACACGATCTATAGTCTATTATAGTCTATACATATATAATATATATGTTATACAGTACTCATCTTTTGCAGCTTGGAACATGTACAAAAAACAAACAAGATGACAAGGTATATACTTTCACCCTGCACCGTGTCAGTACCTTGTTAAAACATTTCAAAGTGCGTACTTTCTGAATTTATGTTTGTTTGTTTTGTCACAAAAGGCGCGAACCTCCGCTCGAACATTTTTTTTTCCGAGGTGCTGACCTTCGAGTGCAACATGAATGTTGCGGCGGAGTGGAGGCGACGAATGTCGTTGCTTTCTGTCTTAGACGCTGCTGGGAAGGAAAGCAGATGGTCGGATGGAGGGAGTCAAGGAGCTGGATGGGTATCCCTTGAATGGAAGGGGAAAAACACATGCTAAGTACTCCTACCATGTTTGCGGGGAGGTTCCTTGTTTATTAAAGTCCCAACCATTGGAGGTGGTTCTGAATCTTTCAGCCTGATATGACCTGATCACACTTCAGATCAATTGTTTTTCATGTGTTTGTGATACTTCAACCCTAGGGATCCAGTCGTACCTCCTCAAAAGGTACGACTGGATCCTCCTGGCACCCACCCCAGTCCCACCTTCTCAGAGGGTACGACTGGATCCTTAGGGCAAGAATGAACAAATTGGGTCTTTGACACTGCCTCGGAGGCCGGACATGATCTCCCTGCAGCACAAGTATGATGCCTTCGGCACGGCCCGAGCCTGAGTCCAGCACCGTGCTTTTCTGTCACCCAGTTTCCGACTGTTCTATGGTGAGAAGGGCCCTTGCCCTTGTTTCTTCCCAAATCATTCTAGGTGAGCATCATAGGGGCACATTCATGGCAAGTGTCGAGTAAGTGGTGTAAGTGTCGAGTCCGAACTCAAATGGTCACACAAACCCAGACACTCCATGCATATGGTATGACTGTTTTGGGGTGGTTGAAAAGGGGTCATTGCCGTTGCCATGCATGGAGTGTTCGGGTCATAGACCACTTGGAACCATCCATTTCGATCCGGCAGAGTCCGGCCGAAGATGGCGAACCGAAGATGAGCATTTGATTGTATCCAGTCGGTCGAGTCGATGTAGAACAGCGGTGACAGGTCAGAGGGCGGTTGGTTTGCATGATGTTTCATGCTTTTTTAGCAGTTGGTGATGTGAGTGAGACATGAAAGCGAAGTTCTACACAAACTAATTACGAAAGCCAGCCTTCGTAGAAGGCGCTAGCGGAGTTGTGTCTGGCGAACGAAGTGAGTAGTTAGGGGGTCTGGGGGGGGTGGCCCGAGAAAGGTATACGTCAACTCAGCACATGCTGGGGGAGGAGGGTGCTCCGAGGGAAGGTTTTTTGAGGTTGTGTTGGAGGTGATTTTTGAGGGGTGGTGATGCAAGAAATGCCAAATGCATCATTTGCATCATCTGAATGGAAAGGTGTAGTTGGCACCTTGCAAGGTAGAGAGACCTAGGGTAGCTATAGTGCAGCTACCAGGTATAGTACTTCAAGTTCCCTTTCCGTCAACCGCTTGAGAACCTCTACACACGCACAGCAATCCACAGCCTTGAAGTCTCATTCGTGCTTTGAACTTGTATAGGTGTGTAAGAGGTATAGCAACATACTGTTTATACGGACCCAGGGTAGCTACAAGTAGCTACAGTTCTGGTATGGCGCGCATGAGGCTTCAAAGCTGTGGTTTTCAAGCTAAAGTCAAGGTGGCCTGAGACCAGGGTTTGCTGCCCTAAAACACTCTGTTCAGGCCACCTTGAAAATAAAG